CTATTTTAGGTTTCTTTATTCGGTGGTACCTACATGTAGATGTGAATTTACATGTAGGGTTAGTAATACTATATACCATCTCACTTTTCTTAGCTTTCCTTTTTATTGTGCCACGCTTTGTAGTCTGACTCATTCTTCATACTCTCAGCTGACTGTTTCTCCATATTCTTGGCTGACTCTTTCTCCATATTCTCCGCTGACTCTTTCTCAATCTTCTCAATAATATCACCTGCTGCATTACTTACATCTTTCTTATCTCCTAGAAAATTATATGTGCAGCTATTGACTAAAAATTAAAGTACAGTGTTACCAAAGGTGACTATTGTGCCATCATGAAAGTCCTTTCCATCCCTTACTCTGCAGGAGGTACCAGCTTCCAGCTGCTCAACTTCTACACAGTTTGCTTTCACAATAGAATAAGTATCGTCTTGCTTAAAGTATTTCAAAAAGTAAGAAGCTACATTTAAAATAGTAACAAGACTCCTAAACATGTCTTTAACTTACGATTTGTCTTCTTCTGGGTGTCTTTTATCAGCTTTCTAAGACTCATTTCTACTCGTTTCCACTGAGTCGTAACCGGGCTGGTGAAAATTAATGCGCATGCGCAGTATTGAGTAGCGCATGCACAGCACATCAGTAGAGTAGAGTAGCACAGGAGTAAAGAAAGCAAAGCTGCTCGTTACTACAACCGTTTTGATTCGCATGAGCTGTGTAGGAAGAAAAGTGCAGTTCGTAAGAACTACTCTGCACTACTTAGCTTTTTTTCTCTCTAAACTGTACCTACGCAACAGTAGAGTAGCTACTTATCTTTTTTCGCCCTGTACTGTATATAAATGAAAGCCTATTCGGGGCTCTCTCACATGCAGGATCATTGCCATATAACACTGCATTAGGATTAAATATAAAACTGCACAGAATACATGTATGTATGTAGACAGAAATGATAAGAAGAAATGTAAAGACGAATACATTTTTGTAAAAAATGTCATAACTATTTACAAAAAATAAAACAATTAAGTTGACTCAATACATTTAACCTTATGTTTCAGTTCTCTGTTAATGGGAATGTTTAACGTTTCTAACACTTAAAGAACAGTAGTTATGTAATCAAATATGAGACAGAATTGCAAATACATTATTTTAGTAGCCATCAAGTCTCTGGTATCAACAAAAAGCTGTTTCTGAATGAAAAGACATCACTAGTCCATCAGGTGAATTTTTTAAAATCTACTGGCAGATTAAATTTACCAAAAACTACAGTATTTTCTTTGTAACTTTCTTCCCTCACTAGACTGCAAAAAGGCAACCACATAAGGTATAGTTCCTTAATTTTAATGCAATGCTCAAAATTTAAAATACAATATGAATTACAAAACTAACTTTAACTGAGGTTTTAAAATGACATGCATGAATAATCTATTGTTCCCATGGTACATGGATGCATAAGAAAGTATACCAAAACTGCCAGAGTACAGCTACTGCATACCAGAATATAATTCATTCAAAATGTGCAATTAGAAATTAAATGAATAGTGCCTGAGGTTAGCTAAAGTGACAGATATTTTTGGCAAAATCATTGAAATTACTGATATAAAGATCCAGACTAGGGGTCAATGACAAAAGCTCAATTATATTTACGCATTCAATTACACTCCTTTTGCAAGAAGAGGCTCAATTACAATTACAGTTACACCATGACAGTGTAATTTCAATTACATTTTCAATTACAATTACAACTTGATGTTAACAAGATACATTGCAATGCTTACACTGTGGCTTAGAATTTACATCAGGTAGTGATTTGCAGTTATCAAATAAACCCACAGACACTAGTGTACATTAAAAACATTTATGTGTATCTGTACATTCTGTAGTTAGTTAAATCAAATATAACTGAAACTTCAATTACGTAAGCTGAAGCTCAATTACAATTACACAATTGTAATTGTAATTGACCATTAAATGTGACCATAATTGACAAAAGGTACCATATGGCGGATTTTAAAATTCATCATTATGATGAAAAATATCAACCTGTGAGTGCTCTGTTAGACAACTATTGTTTCTAAAAGTTACATAGTAACTTTTTGCAACCTCTGGAGTAATTTCATGATGAATGGAGCTCAGAAAGTTGGATTTTTAAGGCTATAAAGACCAATTTTCCTATCCGCCATAAGGTACCTTTTGTCAATTATGGTCACAAATTATAATTACAATTGTAATTGACCCCAGGTCTGAAAAGATCACATTACAGTAGTTCTTTAAAACTATGGTGATTATCACTATGTAGCCATTTTTACATCCTAATATTCATTCCAAAATTAATCTACAAATATAAATAGCCAGCCATTAGAAGGACAAAACCCTGTCCACTCCTTGTACAAGTACATTGTACTTCTTTTTTACACTGGATGATTCTTAATTACACTGGATCAATCACTTTTGAAGTTTTTTTGCACACTTCAAGAAAAATTTTATTAACAATACTCAAAATCTCTAAAAGTAGGAAATCTCTAAAAGTAAAGTAGGACCATTATGTAGGAAGGAAATAATGCATTTGAACACTATTTTTGAAATGATGGCGGTAAAATCATGGTGGTATCAAAAGTAAACTTAATCATGGTGGTATCAAAAGTAAACTTAATCATGGTGGTATCAAAAGTCAGACACTCCTTAAAACATTACCTATTAGGCAGGAGATTGCCCAAATAGGCACAACAGAAGTAACTAGTTTTGAGTCAAAATGCATGCAATTTCTGCTTAATTAATGTACTTTAAATGTATTTTAAATAGGTACTCACTAAAAATTATTGAAGAAGAACTTACATGCACAACAGGCAATGGTACATCGACTCTAGAAACAGAGACACAGGAATCACAATCTTTTAATTTCTTTTCTCTTCTCTAACAAAGGAAAGAAATAATAAAATAGCAAAGATAAGTTTCTCAACAACTGCAACACTCTTATCTTTGCTATTTTATTAATGATATCTTATATAAGCACCCTGTTTGTTATGCAAAGGTCTCTAGTGCAATCTGTAATGGTTTATTTTTAGCCAAGTTTCTCAACAACTGCAACACTCT